CCAGCAGGAAGAAAATAGCCGAAAGTCCAAGCAGGAAGACAAGAATCAAAAATCTAGGATTAGCCAGTTAGTGACTGTGTTTCAGGAACTAGCTGAAGATAAAGTTAGGTTGTAATCTTGAGAAACAGGGAGTTTACCCCTTGTGATTGTCATTGTAATGTGTTTTAAGAACTAGCTGATTATGATGTTGGGAGTGGTCCTGAGAGGCAGGGGACTGCCCCCTTGTAAACTTCACTGGTGTTTTCAGAATTTTCTGTGACACACTCCCTGCCAATTCCGGATCACTGGGCTGTGGTTTCTTATCTGAAAAATTGGTTCTCGGGGACTGGAGAAATGGCTCAGTGGTTAAGAGCATTGCCTGCTCTTCCAAAGGTCCTGAGTTCAATTCCCAGCAACCACATGGTGGCTCACAACCATCTGTAATGGAGTCTGGTGCCCTCTTCTGGCCTGCAGGCATGTATGCCGACAGAATATTGTATACATAATAAATAAATTTTTTTTTAAAAAAAAATTGGTTCTCCCGGTCACTTAGGGTGGAACTCTTCCCCTGCGTGGGTTATGAGTCTCGGCCCCAGTGCACTGGTTCCCGTCTCATCTCATCATTAAAGCCTCGTGTGATTGCAGCAAGGATGGTCTCTCGTGAGTTACTGGGGGGGGGGGGCGTGTTATCCCGAGACTTGAGTGAGAGTCTCCCCAGCACTGGGGGTCTTTCACTGTCATATGTCAGATAGATGGGCAGTGGAAAATCAGACTATTAAAGGCTTCCTTGCTTGCATAGGGTAGTCCCATACATCTATCACAATTGGCTATTGGGGGGCCTTGAGTACCAGCCTCAGTACCCCTCAGGGCTCGTAATTAGATGTCTGTGGCAGGCAAGGATGAACTCAGGTTTGTTACCTCTGCATGTTCTTTATCATGCGAGGGGAGAAGGTGAAGGGAAAGAGCATGGAGAAGAAGGGGAAGAAGGAGAGTAAGGGAGGAAAAGAAGAATAAAGAGTAAGAGGAAGAACTGAGCCCATGAGGTTTCTAGTTTTTATAGCTGTAGTTGGAAAATTCCATAGGCAAGGAAAATGACACTATGACAAAGTAGTACTTCGGAGCGGGTGACCCGGCTCAGGGAAGAGCCAGCATCCAAGGGGAAGTACCTGACGTCCCAAACCGTCCCTGAATCCTGGGTTCACCCTTTCTCCTCATCTAATCTCTTTTCTGATAACCAGCTTTGGGGTCGCCAAGATTTGTTTGTTAGCAAAGGTGGGGCATGCCGCCATCCTGCTCAGTGCCTGTCTTCTATAGAAATTTCTGTGTGGTCTGTGAGCAGATAATTTTAAGGGATTGATTCTATGTAAATTTGGCTGCTAGAACAAAAAGTGAATGAATTCCTTCCTTCCAAGGCCTCCTGGTGTGGAGGACTTGAGCAAGGTCATTCCAATTCCAGAGCAGAGGTTACACTGCTGAGCTGTTCTGGGAATGAATCCCATTTTGAAGGGAAGAACCATGGCTTCACAAGGTTTCCACAGATATGACAGTGACTTTTTCAAAAGACATGTGTTCCCACAGCTCTGCAAAACGAGTTATTCCATGTGGATGTGTATGTAGTAGACATGTGCGTACACACTTCCCGTGGATCCGTCTATTGGTCTGTCAGCTGTGCGTTCACTGTGCAGTCTTGTGGGCTCCAACAATAATAAACAAACATTATTGGTTTGAATAAAACCTTCCTTAAAAACAACACAAATAGAGCTAGACATGGTAACATACGCTTGTAACCCCACTTGGGAGGTAGAGAAATGAGAATTAGGAGTTCAAGGTTATCCGCAGAGATCGCGGTGAGCTCAAAGCCAGCCATTCAGTGAATGGCTCACACCTTTAATCCCAACACTTGGGAGGCAGAGGCAGAATTTGAGGCAAGCCTGGTCTACATAGTTAGTTCCAGGACAGTTAGGGCTGTTACATAGAGGAAACCCTGTCTGGAAAAACAACAACAACAAAACAAACAAAAAGAGAAACAATTCTAACGACACTAAGGTAAATTTAACATAAAATAGCACATGGAGATGTGCTCACTGGTAGAACACTTGCCTAACATGTTCAAGGCAACTCCTCACCCCCAACTCCCAAATCTAGTAATACTAAAATATTAGTTGGTTAAATTATATTGCTTTTTACATCAAGGTCATGGAAACACAGCTTCTTTCTATCAAAATATTTGGTTTGCTTTTATGATTAATAAGGTATAACCAGCAAATGCAGTCTACTTTGGCATGACTGCAATATACAATAAAGACTTCCAACATTCTAAAAAAATCTCCAAGTAGCTTCTGCTTTCCAACAACTAGTGACAGAGGCACGGGAACAGGAACAAGAGTTGGTGTAGGTGGCAGTAACTGCTTATTTCCTCTGTGAAGAACCAAAGGAGTACGTAAGCAAGACCCAAACTGTTCTGGAGGCTTTAATTATTGATACAAAAAGGCAGACACTGGTGTTTAAATTCTCCATCTTTTATATTTCCACTGTTCTTTTGAAAAGAGGATCATGTCTGGCTTCATGTAACCTCCAGACACTCTTCTGATATGAGGTACTAGGAAACAGTCTTGACTTCCTGGGTGCATTCTCTACTTAAAAATTTATAGCCACTGAAAAAAGATTGTGACAGAATTACTCTCTAGATAACAGACTGAATCCGTCTAAATAAATTGTGGATTAAAATTTCAAGTCAGTTTAATGAACACTTTTATCACTGAAATCCATCTACTTAGAGTCATGGGTTTCCATGGTAACTGTCTGGTTCTTTAGCACCTTTAAACCGTATGGCATATATTTATCAATATGTAAGGAATGAAGTGGCAAATATACTTAAACCCCTTACAGAGAATCACAGAGGGGAAAAAGAGCACCAGAGGGCAAATCAACATAAAGACTCCTTTTAAAATGTGTTCATTTTAGTGTCTTTCTCTAAGGGGAGAGACATTATCAATGTTAAAAACCACCAAAATTGCATCTACACAAAGCTTTCGTTTCATATTTTACAACTATTTAGTATGATATATTTACCATATAGTTGAAGAATGAGCAAGTAATTTAAAGGTAAGTATTGAGACGCAGGGAGGTTATGTGTAGGCCCAGTACAGGAGAGGCGGATGGAAGCCGACAGTGGACTACCCCATTGCTTACGTGTGCTACTTATCCCCCTGGGTAAAAGGAGCATCACATACAGTCTAAAAGTTCTAGGTGGGTCTTCTCATTTAACTTCCGCAATTAATCAGGTGTGGGTGGCAAAAACATCCAGGAGGTATGGGGGACCAAAACTTCTGAAAATTAAGTCAGTGACCCACAGGGCTTATAGTTTAATAAGGGACAGAGCAGAGATTTGAAACCAAGGCATTTATGACTTCTAAAACCAATACTGGTTAAACGTTTTAAAAAGGTTATTTTTTTTTTAGGTGTATGAGTGCTTTGCTGAGTATATGTCTGTGCTTCGTACGTGTGCCTGATGTCCTTGGAGATCAAAAGGTCTTAGATCCCCTGACTGGAGTTACAGGCTGTTGTGAGCTGCAATGTGAGTGCTCAGAATCAACCCAGGTCAGCTGCAGGGGCAGCAAGAGTCCAGCTCTTAACCACTGAGCCGTTTCTCCATCATTTAAACATTCTAATCCCAACCCCTCACTGAGAGCTGGCATTGCGCAACTCTCCATCGCCACCACCTCTTTGGGGAAAAGAGTAAAGGTGATGGTGAGCACTGAGAAAGAGGGCAAAAGGAACGTAAAGCCATTGCAGCACTCCCTGATAACAAAGCACAACACTGAACACATTATCAGAAACTATTACGTAGGATAAACTGAGAAACCTCATGAAGTGCTGTCAACACACAAATAGTGTCAACACACACACAAGATGGGGAAGCATAAATATAGCCTGCTTGGCTCAGTTTCACTTATAATTTAAAATAGAAAAATAAAAAAAGAAAGTGAAAAAAATAAGCATGACAGCAGCAGTGGGAGCCTGTTCACAACTCTGCCAGCCTGAATACAAAGTAGCAAAATGCGAATCCAGATATCTGTGCACATGGCTAGTTTACGGTTTCCAACCATTCGGTAGCTTTATGACATAACATCTCTGCTTCTGTAAATTCATGTTCAGATGGAAACAGGTGTCCTAGTCTAGGCTCAGTATCAGTCATTCACTAGTCAGATACTAGTGAAACAAAATCCAACTTGTTAGTATCTTAACTAAATCTGTGTTGGGAGACACTGAATAAAAGATACAATAAAGATAATACCATCTGGGACTTGGAGGTTAAAAACACAATTACACACAACTCCAGCAGATCTGTTGCTAGGTCTGGGGAGGCATAACTGTTTCCTACCTGCATATCTCTTTCTCTCTCATAAAATGTTCCTACAGGCAAATGTCCAAAGCTATCTGCCTCAGGAAGTTGCAAAGTAAACATTATATTTATTACCTTCAAATGCCACCTGAATTTCCATGTAAAACTGTGTCAATTTGTAAATAAAGAAACAGAGTCCAAACTGGGTGGTGGTGGTGGTGCAAGAAGGCAGAGGCAGGTGGATCTCTGTGAGTTCAAGGCCAGCCTGGTCTACAAGAGCTATCCAGGACAGTCAGGGCTGTTACACAGAGAAACAATAATAAATAAATAAAATAATAAAAATAAATAAATAAATAAAAGTCCATTAGTCACTGCGAGTAACAGGTTTCAATGTATCTAATGATTATATGTTGTGGGTAATGAGTTGTTTTCATTTAAAAATATAAACAAATAAATACACCCAAATAGGTCAACACAACAATTTCGATTCCTTCCTGTTTATCTCTGCAGTCACTGTCATTTCAAAGAGAAACAAAATAGTTTCTCATCTCACCCACGCCTATTCTCTTTATGCAAAACAGAAGAGACTTCAGGTCATTAATTGAATCCACAATGAAATAGGGTAGCACAGGCATAAGTACTTGCTTTTAGAAAACAAAGTGCCAAGGACACCTACCTTGTGAGTAGAGAAGGATCTGCATCTCTAGAAGGACACAGGTAAACACTTGAACGAGGTTCTCTAATCCCAGGAGCTCAAAGGCCTCTCGGAGAGGGTAGTCAGAAAGAGGGAGTTCATTGGGCCCAGGCCTCTGGCAGATGACAGGCTCATAAACACCATAAAACTTCAGTGACCTCCCGGGAGGTGGAAGGGGTACCTCATAGAGAATATTATGGATGTAGCTCTCAAGGGGCAAGGGTGGTGGCTGCTGAGAGGTAACAGCCTTGTAAAGTTGGAGGAGGAATTTCTTGCAGGCTTGCATGAAAGGCAGAGGTGTGATCAAGCAAATACTTTTTGAAACATACAAGGTGTCTCTGTTGATGTCGTAAGAGTTGTATCGCTGGAGTTTCAAAAGAGAGGTTGTGTCTCCCTCATCAATACTGCTTGCCAGCGAGTCCATGCTGCAGGAGGAGGAAGCGTACACACTGCTGTGCTGCTCGGCATTGTGCATCTGGTACAGCGTCTGCATCGCTGTGCAGATCTGCTTACTTGTGACTTCTTCATAAAAAGTGAGAACAAAGCCGTAGGTGCGAGAGCCGTCTTCGCGGGTGATGATGAACGAGTGGAACTGGGGCTCCTTGTTGTCCGCTTGTGTTCTGAAAGACAGCCCTTTGGGCATGCACAGCTGTGGAGATAGGGGACCATCAGAGCGCAGTACATGCATCACTTCAAAACAGAAAAAAGGAAATTATTTTCTTTTTAACAGGATATAAAGGGTTAGTCTAACCCAGATTTAACTTTAGCGACAGCTTCAAATTAGAATCATAGTGTAAGTTCTTCACTTACACGTAGATAAAATATTCTCAAAAGAAACAGACGAGGGGCCGACTGGGCTCAGCAGCTAAGGTGCTATCTCCACCTGCAAGTCTCAGCCCTGGTTCAACTCCTGCGACACACACAGTAAAAAGAGAACTGACGTCTACAAGTTGCCCTCTGACCTCTACATGCGTGCACACACACAAACAAAAAACGTATTTTAAAAATAGATGTAAACGTACGTGTAAAAAATATTCACAGTGTGGGTATTACACAAAGAGGGCTTTATTAAGAAGGAGAAGAGGAGAGTCAGAGAGACTGCTCAGCAGGAAAAGTCAAGGTCGCTGTCAAACTTGAGTTCTACCACCAGAGCCCACATGGTGGGGGGAGAAAGCTGTCTCCTGACGTCCACAGACAGACAGACAGACACATTATGCACACAAAACCTCACACTAAATATGTGTAAAGTATCTTTTAAATTTTAAAAGAAATGAGATCTTTGATTTGGATTCAGTAACTCAGAAAAAAAAAAAAAAAAGCGCCCTGATCTTGAACAAGACTTGAAGACAGAACACACTGGATACTTTACAAACAATCTCTGAGACAGGGTCTGTACAATCCTGGCTGGCATGGACTCCCAGTGTAGACCATGGAGTCCCGGAATTCAGACTCATCTACCTCTGCTTCCTGAGTACTGGGATTAAAGATGTGTGCCATCATGCCCAACTTTAAGTACTATTTTTATAGTGATTATGACAGAGTTTCAGGGGGAAAAGGTGAAGGCTGTTTTGATTAGTGAAAAAGAAGTTAATAAAAATAAAAACAACAGTTATTCTATGCAGGACAAAAAATTAAGAAGACATTAGAAAAGGAATCCCCATGCGCCAGAGTCTGAAGAATCTGTTAAGTGAAAAACAAGAAATCCAGCGTATGGGGCTGGAGCGATGGCTCAGCATTTAAGAGCACTGGGTTACTCTTCTAAAAGACCAAAATTTGATTTCCATTACCCACACGATAGATTACAACCATCTGCTCACTCCATTCCAGGTGATCCTAAGCCCTCTTCTGGCCTCCATTGGTACCAGGTGTACATATACTGCACATTACGTGGACACAAAACACCCGTGTACACAGAATCATTTGAAACATTATCTCCTCTGCAGTCCTGTGGCCTGGGGTGGTTTTCTTTCTCAAGCTGTAATCTACCCAAGTTTACCACAGCTCTCACTCTATGACCTCACTTTTAAGTTCTCTGGCAACTCTCTGAGCTACAACTTCATACGATACCAAAAAAAAAAGGTACATTTGTCTTTATTTTTACTTTGGGGGGGGCACACAGAGACTCACTATGTAGCTGTAGTTGTCCTAGAATTCTGTTCTCTATGTAGACCAGGCTGGCCTCAAACTCACAGAGATCTGCTTGGTTCTGCTTTTGCCTACTAAATGCTAGGATTAAAGGGGTACATCATCACACCCCAGACACCACAGTGGCTATTTTAAAGACAGTAAGTGATTCTCCCTTGAAAACTGGATCTATTTTACTCTTTCCCTGAGTATCTCTATGTAAAAAAATCTCTTAATATATTCCAACTCTGCTCCACATAGGCCAATCATGAAACTTCTTCTAGGGACAAAGTCAAGGATTCTAGGTTTTTGTGAGTGGAAATCTCTGAAAAGGTGTGTTTCTGGTTGAAGGGCCCTGCAGATGCTGACATCGCTTTTGCTATTTTGAACAAATATGATGCTTTATCCTAGAAAAATAAACTTTGAAAATGAAACCTTTTTATTTACTAAAATGGAAGGATAAAACAACATATTTTCAATTATTCATAACAGAGATTTTAAAAGACCTAAATAAGGTTCATTTTGCGACAGATTATACTTCTCCTACAGAGTCAGATAACTATTTGAATCTCTGGACAACCAAATCTGTCACACTGACTCAACTCCACCATACAGTGTGAAACACACAGGGGCTTGGGGTGGCTTTGTTCTAACATGACTGAGTAAGAATAAACAGTTAAATTTTGTTCAATCTCTAATAAAATTCAACAGCGGTGACAACTGATACAAGGCTAAAAATGACAGCCCCACCTCTCACTGGTCACACATTCTGTAAGTTCTGAAGCAACAAATAAGAAAACAGGTGGCAATGGCCATGTCTGTGGCCCGCAGCATCACAGTGGACCACAAGGACACCATTTACAATGTGTCTTTCACCTTCCACAGGTTCCCGACGGCATCTGCTCCAGCAACTGACCAGAAGGTTGAGGCTTAGGTACTTGACAAATGTCAGTGCCTGCAGGGAGAGGTGGTTCCCCCGTCTCAGGAAGGTCTGAGATAAAGTGAAAGTGGAGGTTGGCATTGTACTGCTGGATGGAAGACGCGCAGTGATCTGCATGGTATGGGACATGGCGCATCCTGAATGTGGACCAGTTTTGGCTTCCTGTTCTTTTGACTGAACAGCTGTTGTGTGGGAAGAAATAGCAGGAGAATCAAGTGATAAACTGTGAAGACAGAGTCACTGGGTGAGGAGGACAGCACAGCATCCATTACCAATGTGAAGTCTGCTGCCACGCATATGGGTCTGACTTCAGCAACCTGTCCAGCAGATGGTGTGGTAAGAAGATGCGAGACACCAGATGTTGCCGAGTGACAGCTCATGTTTCCTGGACCACCTCCAGCTCCTGCACTCACCCCTCCAGACAGCTGTGGGAAGAGGTAGCACTAGTCCAGTCCATGCAATGGCCGAGGTGCGGGGGTTTTCTTTTGTTTGTTTGGGTTTTATTTCAGTTTGGTTTTGGTTTTACAAGACTAGGTTTCTCTGCGAAACAGATCTGTCTGTCTTGAAACTCGATTTGTAGACCAAGCTGGCCTCAAACTCAGAGATGCACCTGCCTCTGCCTCCCGATTGCTAGGATTACAGGTGTGCGCCATCACCGCCCGGATCAGAGTTTTTACTACAGCTGAAACACCATGAATAATGCAAGCTGAAACTCTTATGACCATCACTGATCCTGTTCATGATATTATTGTATTTGCTCCAAATTTGGAAAGACCTTTCCACATTCTGGCAATAGCAACTAAAGATAAGAATCTTCACATTAGAACTTGTGAGGAAAGAACTTACTTCTGGTGGTCCAACATAATTTAAATCCAGATTGTGGCTCAGTTTGGTGACCATAATTCTCGTGCCTGGCAGGTAAGCTAGAGTATAACAGGAACAGTGCTAGCATCTTCAGGAGACGACAGCTATGGAAGGTTGTGGAAATTAGAAGTATTCTGAAGGGTAACACGAGCCCAGCAAAGGGGAGTTCTCAGCACCCGAGCTCAGGCCGAAGCGTCTTTATTCACTGCGTGTGCTGCATGCACACAGGAATGGAAGGCAAACGCCTTTTCCCTTCCCCAGCACCACCTGAACTCTACCAAGACACATTAGCAGCTAAAAATACACTGTGTATAATTTATTGTACTAGTCAGTTTGTCAGCATTATAAATGGAGAGACTTTTTGTTGAGACATCAAAATAATTTTGTTTTTTTTATTCTTTTGCGTCAGGGTTTCTCTGTAGCTTTGGCACCTGTTCTGGAACTAGCACTTATAGACCAGGCTGGCCTCGAACTCACGGAGATCCACCTGCTTCTGCCTCCCAAGTACTGGGATTAAAGGCATGGGCCACCACTGTCCAGCTGAGACAACATTACCAAAACAATTTTTTTAAGTGTTCTTGAAACATGGGGGTTAAAAACTAAAAAGATTGTTAATATCCTCATAAATAGTTGGGAGAAGGTAAAATACTTTATTCCTTTGGAAGAAATTAGGCATGTGTTCCATTTTCTAAAATAAGCTGATAGGTTTTTATAATTTTAATTTGAAACTGAATAAAAGTTTTTCATGAATTAAAACAACAACAAAAACCTGCCTGACTTGAAGCTGTCAGGCTGCTGGCAGATCAGATGGAGACTAAGCTTCGTGCCCAGCCTAGGAAACAGACCTGTCTTTTTCCGGATAGCCCTCTAGTCTGTGAACCATTCCAATGGGAGTGCAGTCTGACAAATCTACCCAAATCATAGATTTCGATGCCAAATATCTTGCTTGCTTACTTATTTACTGTTTGTAAAACATATCTTACGTGGTCAGGCTTGTTATGTGGCCAACAATGGTCTTGACTTACTGATCCTCCAACGCTACCTCCCCAGGGGCTAGAAGTAAAGGCTTGCTATCATGCCTGGCTCTCTGTATCTTTTTAAAAAGGATTTATCTATTTTTATTTTAAGTGTTTTGTTTTTATATATGTATGCAAACCATGTACCTGCTTGGTACCTCAGAAAGCCTAAAGAGAGTGCCAGGTTCCCTGGAACTGGAGCTACAAACAGTTGTGAGCTGCTATACTGGGTGCGGAAAGTAAACCCAGGTCCTCTGTAAGAGCAACAAGCGCTCTTAATTGCGGAGACATGTCTGTAGCTCTCCAGAGCTTCCCCTTTCATATCAAGTGGGCAGTATGGGAATGCAGCGACAGGCAAAGACACTGCTTTTAAAAAGGTCAAATTTGATTTTTTTTTGTTTTTAATTATTGGTTTTGTTTTTGTTTTGTTGATAGGGTCTCATGTAGTCCAGTCTGGTCATGAACATGAACCTTCTATGTAGCCAGCCAAGAATGAACTTGAATTCCTGATCCTTCGGCCTCTATCGTCCACCTGCTAAGGTTATGTCACTATGCAGGCTAAGACTTAAGTTTATTGACAGGCTTTCCTACCATGCAAATCAGAGAATCAAAGCTCACAATTTTTTTTGAAAAGTGGCCAGCTATTCAGTTAAGGGTTTGTAGCTTTCTTGAGCACACATTCAAACATTTACAAGGAAAGCTTGCCAAAAGTTATATTCAAGTGAAGAAAGACTTCCTATGACACAGATAACAGATGTAAGAATTTTTCTTAAATGCTTTTCTACAAACTAAAAAGGCAAAATTTGTATTTCTAATTCTGGGAATCGTGAATTGGAAAATATGATGAATTACATAAACTACCAGGAACAAAGACATATCTCTTAGACAACCTGAGAGATAATCACAATTTTCTTACCATGGCTCTTATGTCTCTTGTTAACCAACAATATTGTTATTTACTAATAATATCCTCTTAAGATAACTAACAATAAGATGTGTCCTGTAACCAAACACTGGACAATGCTGTCCATACCCTTCTTCTAGTATGAGCGACCAAGGGTCCTTAATTATCTCACCTTCTGGGCAGTTTGGCTAGAACTTTATTGAATTTATTTATTTATTTGGTTGGGTGGTATTTTCAAAGAGATCTATGTAGTCCTGGCTGGATTTTAACGAATGAGTAGGTGATAATGAACTCTACTGCCTCTACTTCTCAAGTGCTGGAATTACACTTTTTGGTTTGAGTTTTAGCAATTCCCCTTTCCAAATCCTATAATTCTAACACTCCATATCCTTTTATTAGGAAGATTTTTTTACAGAAGCTTTTCAGTTTCAGGAGGTCCCATTAATTGTTTCTCTCACTGTGCTGCTGGGGTTATACTTAGGAAGTGGTTCCCTGTGCCAATGCATTCAAGTGTACTTCCCACTTTCTCTTCTATAAGGTTCAGTGTGGCTGGCTTTATGTTGAGGTCTCTGATCCATTTGAACTTGAGTTTTGGGCATGGTGATAGATATGGGTCTAATTTCATCCTTCTACATGTTGATTTCAGTTATGCCAGCACCACTTGTTAAATATGCTTTCTTTTTTCCATTTGATATTTTTTGCTTCTTTATCAAAGATCAAGTGTTCGAAGATGTGTGGATTAATATCCAGGTCTTCTACTCAGTTCCATTGGTCCTCCTGTCTGTTCTTATGCCAATACCAGACTGTTTTCAGTACTATAACTCTGTAGTAGAGTTTGAAGTCAGGGATTGTGATGCCTCCAGAAGTTCTTTTATTGTACAGGATTGTTTTGGCTATCCTGGGTTTTTTGTTTTTCCATGTGAAGTTGAGTACCGTTCTTTTGAGGTCTTTGAAGAATTTTGCTGGGCATTGCGTTGAATCTGTTTAAATGATGCATCTAAGTTCCTTTCCAGCCCAGGTATGGCGGTCACAGCACCTGAGAGGCTGAGGCAGAAAGACTGCCAAAATCACAAGGCTGTCTGGGCTACAGTGAAATCCTGTCTACTGAAGAAAAAAAATATTGTTGGTAAGATGGCTCAGTGGGTAAAAAGATACTTATGACCAAACCTGACAACTGAGTTTGGTCACCAGGACATACATGGCAGAAAGAGAAAACTGACTCTTCCTAGTTGTCTTCCATTTCCACGGGCATAACCGAGCCCACGGACACATACACAGTGTAAAAGTTCCATCTTCATGGTGCCTGTGAAAAATGACAATACAAACCCACCACACATTATTCCCTGATATATGGAAACACTGTGCTCCTTCCCTCAAGCAGAGTGGTTCATCACTGTTTACCAAGCATCTATGGGGCTGGAGAGATGGCTCAGCGGTTAAGAGCACCGCCTGCTCTTCCAGAGGTTCTGAGTTCAATTCCCAGCAACCACATGGTGGCTCACCACCACCTGTAATGAGATCTGGCGCCCTCTTCTGGCCTGCAGACACACAGAATACTGCATACATAATAAATAAATATTAAAAAAAAAAAAGAATTGAACACCAAGCATCTATGTATTAATACAAACCCCAAACAGCTTCACAGCAGGAAATGAAATGGACTTGAGGTTCTGTATTCCTAACAAGCAATATACTGTGAGAACTGCTGTGGAAAACCTGAGAAAGTATCTGTAAAAGACAGACAGTATTATATTATATTATATTATATTATATTATATTATATTATATTATATTATATTATATTATATTATTTCTAGGGGTCTGTGCAGAGAAAGAGCATTTGATATTCTTCCAGAGGACCTGAACTGACCCTCTAGCTCCAGCTCCAGCAGGTCTGATGCCCTCGTCTGGCCTCTGTGGACACTCATACACATGTAGCACACAAAAAGTAGACATGTACATTAAAAAATAAAATCTTAAAATTACTATTTTCACAGAATTTAAAGGATTAATTGTATTAAATAATACAGACATTTACCATTTATATTCTATTCAGATAAAAGGAATGCTAAACAGGAGAGAAAAAGAAAAGAACTATACCATGTTCACTGCATCTTGATCAAAAGGGTTCCATTCTATGCTCTGAGGATAATGGGCCAGAACTTTCGATTTGAACGTTCTTCTCAAAGGACTCTGGTCAAAATTTTCGCCTACAACAAATAATTAATAATCAATGAATAACTGGAACTTAAAAAACAAAATAATTTAAAAAATATTTGCTATATGTATAAAATTATTTTTTTTCCAAGACATAGTTTCTCTGTATAGCCCTGACTGTCCCAAAACTTGCTCTATAGAGCAGGATGGCCTCAGACTCAGAAATCTCCCTGCCTCTGCTTAGGGCTGGGATTAAAGGTATGTGGTACCGTGCCTGGCTAATATACATGTATATTTTTCAAAACATTTACTGATTATACTTAACCTTATTTTAAAACTATTGTCAACTGAGGAACTATCAATAAAAAGTCTGCACTCAAGAGGCAGAGGCAGGTGGATCTCTGTAAATTCTATATAGTGAAAATCCCAGGCTAGTCAAGGTTACATGGTAAGACTTTGTCTTAAAAGCTCAAAAAAGACTTCTTCTTCTAGAAAACACCAAATGGCGGATGACGCCGGTGCAGCGGGAGGGTCCGAAGGACCCGGGGACCCAGGATTAGGAGGCCGTGGCGGCTTCCGCGGAGGATTCGCAGCGGTCTGAGGGGCCGCAGCCGCGGCCGTGGTCGAGGCCGCGGGGCTCGCGGAGGTAAAGCTGAAGACAAGGAGTGGATTCCCGTCACCAAGCTGGGCCGCCTGGTTAAGGACATGAAGATCAAGTCCCTAGAGGAGATCTACCTGTTCTCCCTGCCCATTAAGGAATCTGAGATTATTGACTTTTTCCTGGGAGCTTCCCTAAAGGATGAGGTTCTGAAGATCATGCCCGTGCAGAAGCAGACTAGGGCAGGCCAGCGGACCAGGTTCAAGGCTTTCGTTGCTATTGGGGACTACAATGGTCACGTAGGTCTCGGTGTCAAGTGCTCCAAGGAGGTAGCCACTGCCATCCGTGGGGCCATTATCTTGGCCAAGCTTTCCATTGTCCCTGTGCGGAGAGGCTACTGGGGGAACAAGATTGGCAAGCCCCACACTGTTCCTTGCAAAGTGACAGGTCGCTGTGGTTCTGTGCTGGTGCGTCTCATCCCTGCCCCCAGAGGCACTGGCATAGTCTCTGCTCCTGTCCCCAAGAAGCTACTGATGATGGCTGGCATCGATGACTGCTACACATCAGCCAGGGGC